AGGCCTTCTGCCTTCAGCCTCAGATTTTTCATCTTCTTGGACTCTCCTTCTCCTTTTTAGTTATGTTTTTAACTAATGTTTTATGTATTTATATATATTCATGTTTTAATGTTTGTTGTGAGTCGCCCAGAGTTCCCCCACTGGGGGGAGATAGGCGGTTGAAAAATTTAATAACTAAATAACTAAAATGTGATGTCACACTTTACCACCACATCACTTAGCAACGGAGTTCCTGGTCCCAATTACAGGACTACCTGTATTGCATAAAGATGAGGAAAAAAGTATAGCAAAATTAAGAATTCAGATCCTGCTCGAACATCCACTCAGTTTCCTGTATAGTTCTGGACATAAGAGAATAGAAGCGCTGTGGTTTCTGTATATACAGCCCTGAATATACAGATCAAGTGCAAGCAATGATCATCTGAACCCTGCAGCCAGGTAAATTCCCTTCAGCTGGCTAAACACCAAACTATGATCTAGAGATGTAAACCAGACACAGCCTCTGCAGATGATAAGACAAATAAAACCAACCAAGAAACTTTCTGTAAAACTAAAGCACATTTCTAGAACCCTTTAAAGCTAACCTATTTTGGCAACCCTAGAATTAAAGGCCAGAAATGGAAAGAAAAACATACCTGCAGGAATAGAAAATCAACAGCACCAACTTCCAAAGAATGGGCAAAAAAGGGCAAAACACTTTAGTTACAAACAAACATCCCCCTATAATTTAAAGGAGGGTGGGGAGAGTCAGGGAAGGCTTTACCAGAAAGGTTTAAGCTTTGAGCTAAAGACCAGGGACATCCACAAGCAGAGAAACAAGCCGGCAACCTGGCCGGAGGTGCGAGATGTGGGCCCGTCTGCCCTGAACTGCTGAATGTACAATAAGCCCCTGATCCTCAGGAAGAAACTAACAGCAGGGAAGCAGAGCGAGTCGAGAGGAATCATTATGCCACAGGAGCCCGAGAGTTTGCCTGGTGCAAGGACTGGAACACATTCGGGAAAGAGAAGCCCTCCACTTCCCTGGATCATTTGCCCCCCCCCCGTGGAACTGCTTGTTCTCACATTCAGTTGGCGTTTAACCCGGGATTCCATATCCTGCACTCTGGAATGAGAAAGAGACAGGACAGATTTGATCCTCCTCCGTGCAAGATCTTGTCACTTCCTCTTCTCAGGGCTAAAGAGAGCCGCCGCAGCCGTCCAGTCGCTCTCCGGGGGACTTCGCTCCCAATCCCCCAACCACCCTCACTGCTCTTCCCTGGATCTTTCTAAAAATGCGGTGCCCCGCACGGGGTCTGCCCGGTGAGATGGGGTCTGCCCGACCCGGCGGAGCTATGACTTCCCAGGGTTTGAAAACAGTGCCTGGGTTGGCACGGCCCATCACGCCGCTGACCCAAGACAGCGTCACTCCAAATTCTTTCTCACGGGTAGCATTACAGAGACCCCCAACCCTCACCGTTAACTGGATTTCGGTCCTGGAGGGCCATCGTTTCCAGCCCACGACTCCACCCGTCGGTGTTTACTCCTGCTCGGGGCATTCGCGGCGCCTGCGAACGCGCGGCCCTTCCCTCGAGGCAAGCCCCGGAGAGCAGAGGGGCCCCCCGGCCCTCCGCAGTTCGACCTCGTCGCCTTCGCCCTCGCGCCGCCCTGCCCTGCCCTGCCCTGC